AGAAGGCTGGCGTCGACCATTCATCGACGTGATCGGCCTCGACGATGCGCAGAGCCGTGATCACGCCTTCTCCACGAGCTGGTAGTTGCGGGCTTCCACCGTCCTTGCCGCGGTGTCTTGGGACGCGTCAAAGCTGGCTGAACGGTGGAAGTGCGATGCCACTGCGAGAGTTGCAAGGCGGCTTTCGGCTCGCACATTGGTTCGATGCAGGTCGTTCAGGCGCAGGGCTACAGCTCTGTTGCACCAGCTGATACCAATGGGTCCAAAAATGAAGGATGCTCTTTCAATACACCTCGCTGCCGCAGAGCAGTCAGCAGCGAAGGTCACTCACGGGAGCCACAAAATCGATCGATGTGTAATGATGCACGTCCTGACTTGTCACTCGAACTCGACCTTCGCAGCTATATCCGTGGCGAGCGACGTGTGCCACTTGCGGTCAAGTGCTTGGCCATGCTGTTCATAACCTCGACAATCTTGGACCTGGACAAAGTCAAAGCGACGTGCAGCCTGATCTCAGCGCTGCATCTGTCCGTCTCTCCAAGGCGGCGCTCCGACCGATGCTCGGCAATCGCCTCACCCCGTCGCTAGCACCAGTCATCGCAGCAAGCGAGTTGTACCGGCTTTCTCAGATGCATGGCGGTAGACGCTTTGTGCTGGAGAGCCAAGAAGATAGATTACCGCGAGCGATCCTCTGGCTCTTCCTAGCACCGTGTTCGATTTCGCTCTCTCACGATCCCGACGTAGCGATGATCAAGCAAGCATCGCTCGAAGTCTGCAGCAACGGCGACGCGGCAGACCTTCGTCTAACGACGGCCAAAATCCTATACCGCCTGCTTCCCTCGACGGATCCAATCGCTCAGACCAACGCGTCCCACGGGATTGGTCAGGAAAGAAGCTGGAGTCAATCGGCGGCAGTCGAAAGCGTCGTGCACCGCCGCAGGACTTGCAACTCCATCATGCTCGCTCTTCAAATGTCCACCAAATGTCTTCCGGCCTCGCAGCGCCAATCCTTCTCGCCACCGTGGAGCATTGGCTATCTTGAATGTCGAAGTCCCATCTGGAGTTAGCCACACATACCCAAGCTAGAGCGCCTCACTCGTTCCTCACTGGGGCTTCCAGCGAGACTCAAAAAACGCAATGCGAATGCGAATGCGAATGCGAATGCGAATGCGAATGCAAATGCAAATGCGAATGCAAATGCAAATGCGAATGCAAATGCGAATGCAAATGCGAATGCAAATGCGAATGCGAATGCGAATGCAAATGCGAATGCAAATGCGAA